TAGTGTTCTGTATGAGTTTGGACATGATAGATTTTATTATATAAATTTAGTCATATTAGGAGTTGAACAAGCAAATTGGGGTGATGGAATGGAGGAATGTGTTTCTGCGCGTCTTTATCTTCAGCAGATTCAATAAGGAGAGAAAGGGTCAAAGCCCAAGGTGTAAGGCTTATACGTGGTGATTTTCTGTAAATGAAGAGAATGGATTGTATGTGATGTATCATGAGATCCTCGAAGCCTACGAAGTTGGAAAATGATTCTTTTAGAAGAGATTAGTGATGAAACATTTGACTGTATCCAATACATCATTCACGAAAAGACAATTTATGTAATATATTTAAAATGATTGATGATTAGATAAGCAGAAAGGACAAAATCAATACAACTAGATTATGTTTTTATCATCTGTATCTTGTTTATATGATTACTTTTTAGGAGCTTTTGATATCTTTGACATTGCAAAGCAGAAAAACAAAATACAAATTGATGTTTGTTGTAGATTAAGATTTTCATAATCATACTTTTGCAAGAATCTGCAACTGATCATGACAGTTTGAATTAAATGCAATGACTCTGTGGTTTATTATTTTAATTTGAAGATAAGATAGTATTAAAACTGTAATATTTTGTTTTTTGTTATCAATGTAGTATGTCTTATCTTATGCATTTTCACTACTATCCACTTTATACTCTATTAGATTTTATTGTATTTGATGCCTGTTGGAAACTCGAATTGTCTCGTCCTGACTCATAAAGTTTTACTTCCCATGTTGTATGCAGGTGTTTCCTTGAAGACTCAAGAACTCTATGCTCTTGTTTTTGCAACCCGCTATTTGGATATCTTTTTCAACTTCATCTCGTTTTATAATACCATAATGAAGTTAATATTTTTGGGTAGCTCTTTCTCAATTGTTTGGTACATACGGCGCCACAGGATTGTTCGGAGATCATATGATAAGGACCAAGACACATTTCGCCATTTATTTCTCCTGCTCCCCTGCCTGCTTTTGGCTCTGGTTATAAATGAGAGGTTCACTTTTAAAGAGGTATCTGTTTAATTCCATTTTGTTATTTTTGGATAATTTGATGATATCCTTGTATCTTCAACTTTTTGTGGCTTTTATGTTTTTCATGTCTTACTAGAACCATATGAACACAATTTTACGGTAAATCATCCTTTGGAAATATGACAGAGCATATACTGTGCTTTTCACATTGCTCACATTCTTGTGTGATTTTACAAAATTGATTGAGCAGGTGCTGTGGACATTTTCTTTATATTTGGAAGCAGTCGCCATACTTCCTCAGCTGGTGCTGTTGCAAAGGACAAGAAATATTGACAACTTAACAGGGCAATATGTTTTCCTCCTTGGGTAATAAACTAACTTAACCTTGCATTTGGTAGTTCATAACATATACTGTTGTTTCCATATGCTTAGAATCAATAAATATGTAATTAGATACATTATACATTTCAATTCTATCACAACACTTTGTT